TCTTGAAAGCAAAAAGATTATTGAAATATTGGTCATTTTGAGCTTGAACTAAAGGGATTAAATAATTTTCTATTTCTCTCTGCTTGTGAATATATAGTCTGAAAATGACCAAATATTGATTGAAACCCACATGTGAAGAAACTGGTAATGAGAAAAATGATTATTCTAGGTAATGGTATTTACTCCTTCATTTGGAGAAAATTATTTGAGAAGAAATGTGCTAGTAAATATTTTCTGGACCACTGTCAGATAACTATTTTGAATATAAGATAGCATTTTGTAATATTTTTTGAAAAATTTAATAGAATGCCATTCTTAAATATAAATATTCCTCTGTGTTTTAGATAAATAATAAATTTTACTTGTGAATGTACATGTGATGTTTTTATCTTTGGAAGAAAGATTTTTCTTTTCTAAATAACATCTCTAACTTTGCTGCTATCAAGAGACATATCTCAAATTAAATTGATTTAGTTTAGCATTATCTTAAAATTATTTCAATGCTGTATCTAATTAATTCTGTCTAAAAATATTCCATTCCTAGAAGCTTCTTATATGAAAATATTTGTATTCCTAAAAATTATCTTTCAAAAATGATAGTTTTACTACCAGATCTTAAGCAGTTTTAGAATAATTGATCGTTTTCACAAATATTTACCTGGTTGTATGACCAAAAAGAGTAAGTTATCCATTATAGTTAAAATTTTAATCTTTTCAATGGCTGTATGTATGTGTACAGGTAAAACAGACTAAATGTGTATGTGTGTGTACATGAACACATGATTAATATAGTACATTTACAAGTAATGTACAGGTATTTTATATAACTCTATGAAAATTCTGCATATTCTCAAGAACACTTATTTATAATTTTAGCAATCTGTTTCCTCAGATATTATGGTTGGTTTTTAAATTAGTTCTATTTTTGTTACTGTTTAGACAAGTGTTTGCAGTGTAACATTGCTGCATTTTGAAAATATGCCTTCCCTTGTCTTCTTTTTCATAGAGTTTTCTTTAATGTGGTTTTGAAGTTGCCTGTGATCACTGTATTTTTGCTACAGTTTGGATGCTAGGAGTATCTTTTTTTCATACAAGCATAATTTTCCTTAGGTAAGCACACTTGCTGTTTTTGAAGCAAGTGCTAATTTGTCCTGTAGACCATGGCTTTTGGTCACTTTTGACCAATCTTTGTATTTGAGCTGTGAGCATTTGGTCACAAAATTATACTAACCCAAGGACTGGTTTTGAAAGATTTTCCAGATTGAATACATACAATTTTTATTAATTTAGTTTTTATTATTCATACAAATATGTTTTCATTTTATAACTCTGAAATTTAAAGCTTTTACTTCTATCTGATGCATTATGTATTGTTATATATAAACCAAATATGTATTCATCATTTTACAATATATAAATTTCTGTTGTTGCATTTTCTTATTTTGCCATTATTATTCCTGTGTCATTTTTTTCCCCAGACTCCAAATTTCTTTGGTTTAAGGACCTAACATTTCTTTTTCATTTTTGTATCTGCAGACATGACTTCAGTTTAGGATATGCAGCAGATACTACATAAGTTGAATCAATGACAGGATATTTATGTATGACTTTAAATTACTACTAAAATGATTCAGATAATTTCTAGTGGTAAGAGTCACACATTGTTATATCTAAATAAACATATTCATTTAGTTTGCTCTAGGCTTCCTTCACAACTCAGTTATTCACACACTGGCAGTGTAGTATCTTTCTGCTAGCTGGCGTTGCTCCCCTGGGATCCATATTGCTCTTGGTGTCAGACTGAAAATCAATTTTAGTGGTCTGTGCTTGTATAAAGCCATTAAATTATTAACAAAAAAATGTTAAGAAGGTGCAAAAATGAATGTGAATTGGGTGAACGACACATGGTTAACTTTTCTTAAGCTGAAAAAGTATTGATTGTAAACAACCTATGTTAAAATATTTTCCCTTTTGCTAATAGTAGAAATTGTAACTCAGACATTTATGGTAGGATAAGAATATGTCATTGGATAAAAATAATATCTGTTTTTTCTTTGAGAATTTTCCATCTGAAGTTGATAAAAACAAGGTGAACCCTGAAATAACATATCAAATGCCTTATATATTGAAGTTTCAATAGCACTTTGAGTGGTTATGAACTCATATGTTTTCCTATACAGTTTCTCATACATATATATTTAGATTTACACATTACAATGGAAAATTTAACAGAGTAACATTTAGCCCTGAAAACTACTGGAAAAGAAATTCGTTCTATTGATTCTATAAACCTTTTGTCTGTAGACTAACTGTGGTGTGGTAATCAGGTTATCAAAACTGAAACAAGCAAGGCCAAATAGTCTCCATCTTATGGTTATACGGGCCTGGTGCAGCCTAATTCTATTAAAAATTATTTTCAGTGCAATGGTTGACAACTCAGATTCCTACAGAAAAATCAGTTGTTGGTATATATCACACTTTCTATATGGTTAGGGAACTATGGTGTAAGCACATAAAATAAACAAGACTAAAATCATATATTTTAAACTCAGAATTAAAAAAAGGCAAGATGTATGATAAATGCCCCTGTGAACAGTGAGTTGTATGGCAAACCACTAGGCAATCTCGATTGATTGCCGTTATTCAAGAATATAGGCCTGGTGCTGCTAGACTTTACAATTTTTCTAGAGAAACTGGAGATCTAGATTTGTTTATGAAATCTACTAAATTTAATATGTTGGTTCATTTTCTTAAAATGTGATATGGCCCCAACTTAAATACATCCTGGTCACATTTGGCTGTGGCCTACCATTTTGAGATCTTTGTTTCAAACAAGGTTTTGAATTTTTAAATCTCATTTCTTTCAGAGGGCAGAAAAGTTGTGGGCATCCTCTACCAAAACTGTAAAGTGAGACTGGAGTATTAAGTTGCTGAATCATTGGTAGTTTGGACCTTGGTTGAATGTCATTTTTATTCAACAACTGGCACAATTGAGGATGCTGAAACCACAGCTTTGGATAAGGCTCACTCTTTTCCTTGGTCTTTCTCAGTGTGGTGCCTTAGAAGAAGTGCCCAGTAATGTGATCATGGACAGTGGTCACTTTCTGCAGGGGTTGCACACTGAGCTATTGGGATATAACTTCCCAGTTTTTGTCTTGTTTTTTGAGCTCCATATAGAATTCAAGTTTATGATTTTTATTACTTTGGTATATCTTTCTCATAAGCTTCTAGCAGCTTTGAGATTCCTAAAACACAGCACTCAATTGTAGAGTTTACAACACAAAGTAGAATAAAACATTGAGTTTTTTTTACCTTCTTTCACCAGAACCCTTAACCTTGACCACACCTTTCCCCATCTATACAGAGAAAGTGAATAAAGAGAAAAGAGAAAAATGGCCAGGATTCAGAATTCTTTAAACTTGTTCAGAAAGTAGGAGATACAAAAATGAAAGGAACCACAAATAGCTCTGTGGCCTAATTTCTTCTCCCACGCTTCCTCTGTTCATTGTGTTGGACCGTCACATTCAAAGGCAAGCTATGGTCCTTACAATTTCCCACCATGCCCCTACAGGCCCTTCAGCCCCCTGATCTGATTGACAACTGTTTTCTCACTTGTTTCTTCTTCAGGCCCCTGGTTTCCTTGCTGTTCCTTGATTACATCACATATGATCTCCTTTACCTCTTACATGTTTGTACTGCACTGTTGTTCTCTCCGCCTAAAATAGTACATTCATATACACATTTTTTCAATCTCCTACATGTCTTACTAAACTGTTGCTTTCTTAGTTGCCTCTCAGTGAGGTTCCATTGAGAATTACATTCACCCCTTCCCCTGCACTCCAAATCCTCTTTATTCTGCTCTACCTCCTTCCCCCATATGATTAAAGATGTTTTTTACTATAATACATAATTTTTTTATTATGTTTATTGCTTATTGTAAGTATATCCTCTGCTAAAGTGTATGTAGCTGGAGGCTAGAGATTATCTTGTCTTGTTTACCAGATGTATCTGAAAACAGTGCCTACAGTGCCTGGCATATAATAGATACTTAATTTTTTATTTTAAGTAAAAGAATGTTGAACTACTTTCACTAAGGGCTGGGCGTACTTCCCACAGTCCGTTATAATTGCCCATGGGAAGATTTCTTGCAATAAATTATATCATGTGTGGGCTTATGATCTGTTTTGTTTTTATTGCTAGAAAGTACAAAAACATGTTACAGGAAAGAGACATTTGTATGTTGAGGTCTCAGAAACACAAAACAGAACTGTGTATGTTTTATCCAAATACAGAGGGAAATCAATTTGTATAAGTAATTAGTTTAAAAAAAACTATAAAAAAATAATTGGCTTGAGGCAGTAGAAAGAGCAAAGAATATGAGGTCAGATGACCTGTGATCATGTCCTATTACAGCATTTGCTAGTTCTGTGACCTTCTTTAGCTATTTATTAGCTCTGAGCCTTAGTTATCTTTTCTTTAAAATGTGAATATAGTAGAATTTGTCTTATTTGCCCTTATTAGTGTTTAATGATAGGTTTTCTTTATTAATATATACTTGTTTCCTTTAACAGTTACCCACCTATCTAAATTGTAATTATTTTGTTTTTTGTTCACCTGACAGATTCACCTTTTGCAATATATATAGGCTCTACAGGGGCAAGTCTGTGTCTGTCTTTTCTCAGTGTTGTGTTCCCAACTCTTGCATACCATGTCTGGCATATAATAGTTGCTCAGTAAAAATGTTGTGACATGAAGGGTTAAGCAATCTTAAGTCATCAAGTTTGCATGAAATAATAGTAGGTTGGTTTATAATCAATAATTATAACTGTCTGTTTTACTATTAGCATCTAAAGCATTATCATCATCATTGTGTACATGTTACTCAGGCTTCTTTAATCTACTACCAAGAGGGTGATCCTCTTCTAGTATTACTGTCTTAAGTTAGAAGTTTAGTGAAATAATACAAAAAACACTTCAGTGATCTAATGGTTTTGATATAGGTCTCCAAGCTGGCTGGTGTCTTTGTCAAGCATGGAATCAAGAAAGGTGACACTGTGGTTATCTACATGCCCATGATCCCGCAGGCGGTGTATGCCATGCTGGCATGTGCAAGGATAGGTGCCATCCACAGTCTCATATTTGGGGGATTTGCTTCTAAAGAACTAAGTAGTCGCATTGATCATGTAAAGGTAAGTGCTTTATTTTGGGAAATCAAGCTGTAGCTACCTATAATTTAGTCATATATATCTGTGGATAAATCATCTGAGAATGATATATATATATCATGAGTCTGTTTGAAATATCATTGAGGTATTTAAAACAGCACAGTGTCTGACATATAGTACTCATTTAAAAATTCTTAACTATTATTTATCTATGAATTTAGTGCCAGAGTTAGAAAAATTTTAATTGTAAATTGACCAGACAGTAAATATTTTAGGCTGTATGAATGACGTGATCTCTATTGCACCTACTCAGCTTTGCTGTTATATATAGCACAGAAGCAGCCTTAGACAACACATACATGATAGGTGCATATTTTTCAATAATATTTCACAGAAACAGGCTGTGTGCTGGGTTTGGCTCACAATCATGGTTTGCAGACCCCTGATGTAGAGGAAGGAGCATTTTCTTTCAGTCAGGGCAGCCAAAGAAGGCTTCCTAAAGGAGGTGAGATTTGAGTTAGATCTTGGCTAAGGTTCAGCTAGTGGAAGAGAATGACATAGTAGGATCCAAAAAGGCAGAAAAAGATTATGACCTAAGCAGTAGAGACAGGAGATGGTAAAATTCATTTGGAAGGACAGAAATGTGGACTAATGTGACTAAAAGGTGAGAGAAGGTGAGCTTGCAAAGGCAGATTTTGTCTGAACTGTTAACCAGTAAAGCTTTTAGAACATGTGAGTGTCAGGTTTTAAGCAATGTTAAGAGGAGACATGTATTGCAGTATGTGAGCAGGAGTGAAGCTGGAAGGTGAAACAAAAACCATTGATAGGTGTTTTGGGCAATATGAAGGGCAAAAAGGACTCTGCTAGGAAGGTCCTTATCGGAGTAAGAAATGGTTGACCTTGAGAGTTTTACAAGCTCAAGATGAGGCATTCTTAATGGGAAGAGAGCTAATGTATACTGAATGCCCCCTGAGTACTAGGTATAGAGTGAGGCTTTGCATATCTCACTTTATCTTATAATAGGTTAGTTATTAAAATAAGAAAGCAGGAGGCTGAGGCAGGAGAATTGCCTGAACCCAGGAGGCGGAGGTTGCGGTGAGCTGAGATCGCGCCATTGCACTCCAGCCTGGGTAACAAGAGCGAAACTCCGTCTCAAAAAAAAAGAAAAAAAAAAAGAAAGCTGATTTTTGAACAAACCATCTCAGTCCTTTTTTTTTTCTTTTTAAACATGTTGCATTAGTGCTTATGAAGAAAATCTAGGGAAAAAATATCAGTCACTGACCTGCAAATAAAACTTTTTAAAATTGTGATAAGTTACAGGGGAATTACAGTATGTAAAATAAATAAGGATTTGCAAAACTTTTGGTATACCACTTAAGGAATTTTCATTGAAAACACATGTGTACACACACACATACACACCCCTAAGACTCTTTTGTTAAGGAGTTTATGCAATAAATGCTTTTATGGACAAGGCAATTGGGCAGGTCATGTATAAAGAGAGAAGATGGAGATAGTGGGATATATATATATATCTGAGATAGTGGGATAAAATTAGTGTGTAGTTGAATTAGGAATGATTTTGATGTCATGGTATTCAAATAAATAGGCTAAAGAAAAAGGATTAACGGAAGATGATGGAAAGGTTGTATTTTAACAAGTCAATCTAGACTCAATAAAATCTCCAGTAAGACTGTTAATAGAAACGTGAAAGGAATCATTTTATCAGAGGAAGAGTCTAATTTTGACTTTATTATTCTAGCTTTGATATATTCTATATATGCTCCTAATTTGATATGTAGGTTGCTTTTGTTTATTCAGAATTCTAATTTTAGGGAATGCTATCTAGAGCTATTTTTGTGAGTATTATAGATATTAAAATGTGAATTACATTCAGATGTCTGACCTTTAAAAATATAAAAGGAAACATACTTTTTGCTTTTTTTCCCCCTTTTTCTTTTGAGGCAGCTTGATATGGTGGAAAGAGGTTCTGCACCAGACAGAACTGGCCTTCTTTCTGCCTCCACCACCTGTAACCTGGGGCAAGCTATGTAATTGCACTGAGCCTCAGTTCCATGAATATTAAATTATATTCAAAAAGCTGACAGTACTGTGTATGCATATATTTAGCACAGTATAAACCTTTCCTAGATGAAATGTTTTATAACTAGAAATCAGAATTCAGGAATACATGCAATACCTTGGGTCGATTATCTGCCTTCTGAATAATGTATTATCTATCTCCTTTGCTTTGAATTTCTTGGTGAAGAGACAATATACTTAAAAATATGAGGACTTCTTTTTCTGCAAATTAACGAGTTCCACAAATGTTTACTGAAAGCTCATGACATGCCAAGCACTGTGCTAGGTATAAGAAACACAGAAGTAAATGGCATCCGAACTTGGCCGTTTAGAGCTTACTGTGAAGTAAGCTCTAAACAAACACTGACTATAGTCAAACATTTGAGGCGTGTCCAGAATATACTGAAGAAGAGGATTAACACAAGCTGTGGTTCCCTCCAGAAATACATTTTGGCTACACCTGTGTTTGTCCTGAAGAATGACTTACCAAGTTAGCAAGTTGTCAGGTAAATAGTATATTGCATATCTTTTTTTTTTTTTGAGACAGAGTCTCACACTGTGGTCTGGCACCTGGTCTGGAGTGCAGTGGTGCCATCTTGTCTCACTGCAACCTCCGCCTCCCAGGTTCAAGCAATTCTCCTGCCTCAGCCTCCCAAGAAGCTGGGATTGCAGGTGCCCACCACCACGCCCAGCTAACTTTTTGTATTTTTAGTAGAGACGGGGTTTCACTATGTTGGCCAGGCTGGTCTCAAGCTCCTGACCTCCTGATCTGCCTGCCTCTGCCTCCCAAAGTGCTGGGATTATAGGCATGAGCCACCCTGCCCAGCCTAAAGTGTATCTTTTTTTTTTTTTTTTTGAGACGGAGTTTTGCACTTGTTACCCAGGCTGGAGTGCAATGGCGCGATCTCGGCTCACTGCAACCTCCGTCTCCTGGGTTCAGGCAATTCTCCTGCCTCAGCCTCCTGAGTAGCTGGGATTACAGGCACGTGCCACCATGCCCAGCTAATTTTTTGAATTTTTAGTAGAGACAGAGTTTCACCATGTTGACCAGGATGGTCTCGATCTCTTGACCTTGTGATCCACCCGCCTCGGCCTCCCAAAGTGCTGGGATTACAGGCTTGAGCCACTGCGCCCGGCCGCCTAAAGTGTATCTTAAGGACAGGGGCAGGTCTAGGTTTTGTGGGGCTTGAAACTTAAATCATTTTGGATCTTTCTAAGAAAATAATATCTAATATTTGGGGAATGTGAGTATATATTAAGAATGAGAAAAAAATTAATACAAATTATTGGAGATTTGGGTCTTTTTTTGCTGCAGTCTATGCATTTAGAAGAGAAATATGTAGAAAATCTATGAAATGCCACTACAACCTCAGCAGCAGCCAGTTCTTACTGGGGCCTCTTAAGGGCTTCAAGATTTGCATTTTACTAGTTCATGGCAAATCCACCTGGCTTAATGAATTATTTGAAAGGAACTTACACACTTCATTCCTATAAGTCAGAAACATCATTGAGTATGCAATTTTGAACAGTTAAGTGAGATTTGTGTGGAAGTGGTTAAGTCTATAACAATGAAAATTGGTTTGTTGGTTTACAGACCATTCAATAGAAAATGGAATCATTCAAATGTTTCTTTAGAAATGTTAAATTGCCAGTCTGCAGCTAAAATATTGTGATTACCTTAATTAACATTGTTAAAGCTTTCTCTTCGTTATTCTTTTTTAATTGTAGCCCAAGGTGGTTGTTACAGCATCATTTGGCATTGAACCTGGAAGGAGGGTAGAGTACATACCACTTATAGAAGAAGCACTAAAAATAGGACAACACAAACCAGAGAAAATTCTCATTTATAATCGTCCAAATATGGTAATCTGAATATTGAATTTGATTCTTGCTAATGGTAATATGCTAAGGATGATTTTAGTTTTTACCATTTAAAAGAGACACTTGATTTATAAGCTATTTAGTATACTGCTGAATGTCATTGTTATTTCTAGGAAAAAATATAAGACTTACTGACTTCATGAAAATCTAGCTTAAAACCAAAAGACTAAAGCACAGAAACATGTGAGAGATTAATGAATTGGGTTATATGTATACTGCTATTGTTGTAAGTATTTTTATTAGCTCAGATTATAATAATTATAATGATGAGAATTGACTGCTTACTGTATGATTTTTAAGATACTCTACTAACGAATTTTTTTTAAATTTTCTTGGTAACTCTATTAACTATATGGTAATATTATTCCTATTTTAATAAAAGAGGACTCCAGTGAACATGGAGATAAAGTAACATGCCCGGTTTGAAAGTGCTGGAGTCAAGATTTGAATGCATGCACTAGACTGTATGCTTAATCCCTCAGCTGTCCTGACTCTTGGAGTGGTGTGACTAATTTGCATGCAAATATCTTCTTAAAATTTAGAAAAGTATTTAGGCCAGAAATAGAACTATGCTCAGAAAAACAAAACATGAGTATTCTAAGTGGATAAATTATTCTGTGTTCTATGAAGGAAGGGAGAACTGTATATCAATGAATACAATTTATGATACTTTTCCTATAACTTACTTCTTCACCCAAGCAAATATCTAGCTATTTGTGATGAGACCAATTTGGGTTTCATTTTATTTTTTCCCAGAAGTGAAATTGCAAGAGTGCAAAGAATCACGTGCAATTTGTAGAACTCTTGACGTTTTATTTGAAATACTTAAATGACATGATCTGAGACAGAGTGTTAAAAATGTCATTTTGATTACCACCTAGCAATTCATGTTACCATTATATTAAATTCCTGTGTAGAGTTTTAGTAGTCTGTGGTTCATGAACTACTGCACTTAATGATTTTAATGTTCGTATGAGCTTGAAGAAGAATTTTAAGTTTCTTTAGATGATCACAAGCATTTTTTTTAAGCTTCTTTGCTGTTTAAATCAGGAAATGCAAAATCAGCAATATAGAAGGCTTTGGGTAAGAAAAGTTTAGAGGAACGGCAGGAACACACACAGAATGTATATATATGAATATATGTGTGTTATTCACATTCATATGTAATTTTTACAGAAATATGATGTACTAAGTTCTAGGCCCAGTGCTAAGTACTTCCAAATACTTTTTTAAAAAATTTAATTCTAACAAACCAATGAAGCAGATGCTGTTACTCACCTTATTTTACAGATAAAGAAACTGAGTAATGGAAAGGTTGTAGCCTAAAGTCACGGCTAATAAGTGGCAGAACTAGGATTTAAACTCCAATTTAATGACTGTAACCAACAAGATATATGCTATGACTTTCACTATAAACATGTTGGATATGGGTATCAATGTTCCTTATTCAGATTTTTCTAATGCAAGTTAATGCAAGTCTCTTCTCTTTCTTTTTAATGGAGATAAACTGCCTGCTCCCCCCAATAACTAGCTTCCTTTCTCTGCTTCTCTCTTTTTCTGCAGATCCTTTCCTCTATTTTGATTTTGAAGAGGGCTATAGAGGTCTCTTGTTCTATTAGACCTGCTGTTTAGGCGGTAATTAAGCCTAGTGGACTGGCTTTGCTTTGAATTTAGAGAGACACAAATTATGAGGCTCAGTAGTATGTCTTACCAGGATTACATTTTTGTAAGAGGAGGTAAAAACTTGGCTGCCACACCTAAGCCTCAGGCAAGCAAAGATGGAATCAAAGCATAGAGTATCAGTCACTACTGGACTCTCCCAATACTGCCTTTTAAGAATTATAACAACTAGGAGAGATATATCTATAGAAGTAAATGCATATTTGTGAAAATATTTTTTTTTCTTTCTTCATTTGTCAGATCTCCTTTGTCCATACCTCTGTTTCTTAGACTGAAGAGTAACCAATTATTGAAGTCCTAATTTCATTAGAGGCATATAAAGTTATCAACCTGTAATTATTTTTGTGATCACTCAAATTATGTTTTTATTTTGCAGTGTGATGATTTTTATAGATCTCTGTGATGTCAGAAGTTTGGTAATTTGCAAATTTTTAGTTGCTTTATTCATTGTATAAAAAGCAATGTAAACATATGATTTGGTCATAGTCAACTATTTTATTTATTTAAATGGCAGAACCAGTACCTATCAGAGTGAGGCTGGATAAATTAGTTTGGCCTGAAACTTCAACTTTATAAAGGGTCTTCAATTCAGCTATAAATGTGTTTCTTCATGCAGGTATTATATTCATATAGGCATCATATTTATAATATATTAAAGTATTGGCAAATGTACCTATTTAAATATATAAACAATTTTTACCACCCTGATTAATGTGTTAATCAGCCTAGAAAATGGCAGTGGCTTGTTTTTCCTAAAATTTTCTGTCTTTGGGGTTATCTCAGGAATCACCTCCATGAAATGGTTACCTAGATCTCTAGATATAAATCTCATTAATTTTCACTGAGTATTATATAACTTTGCTTGTGCTTGTGCTAACATGTTTGCTAATTATAAACTTCCTGGTATGTGATCTTGAGCTCAGCTAACATTTAAGAAAATGACCAGACTTTTAATTGGCATTAACTCTACTTAAATAGCTGTAGTTCCCCATCAGAGTAAATTTTCCAAGAGCCACTTCCTTGCTTTTGACCCCTCTGCCCATTCCATTGTCACTATTTTTAAACAAGTCTATCTGCTTTCTTTAAAGGTGTATATGTTTAACTCATGACTCTATTATCACATTTTCAACACAAGGCCGGTTCTTGAAACAAAAGAAGAAAACAAATATTTCTCCAACAATAATGAATGACCCGGAAGGAGAAAAACTTGCATCATATTTTAGATATATTACAGACTCTGACTAAATTTCAAAACTGGATTTTAGTCTTCAAAAAGCAAGAGTAGAATTCTTCCCTACTCCTGAAGAATTACTGTTTTCTTATTTGGAAAGGTAGCTGTGCTATTACTCCTAAAGGCCATTGTATGAAGAAAAATTTTAATAGCTTAGTTGACACATCATTATAAAGATGACACTTCCAAAGTAAAAGAAATAGGCTATGAAAAATAAAAATTAGTTTATAAAGTTATTAGTGTACATACATGTGTAAAAACATGAAACCTTGTTAAGCTTTGAGTGTTGATGAAAACAGTCTACTGCATTAGACTGAATTTCTTAAGGCTATCATTAGATTTAAATGAAACATGCCTTTTTGTCAGTTTAGTTGAAATGAAAACCACACTTTTGGACCTTTTATAAACATTTTTGTTAAATCATGAACTTGAACTTTTTAGTCATAAATCTGATGTTTAGTGCCACATAGGCCTAGAGTTTCAGCCAGATGCTCAGACTTAAGTAGATTTAGCTACTTTTTATTCTCTTGATTTCATCTCCTTATTACAGTACATATTCCTATATTTTTGCTGTGCAGGAGGCGGTTCCTTTGACTCCAGGTCGTGACCTTGATTGGGATGAAGAGATGGTGAAAGCCCAATCACATGACTGTGTTCCTGTTCTTTCAGAACACCCACTGTACATTCTTTACACATCTGGCACAACGGGATTGCCTAAGGTACTCACTTTCTTAGGGATAACTATCTATAGCAGCAGATTTAGTTGGCACCAAAAATGTTTGATCACTGACTGGAAATGTTTGCAGACTGTACTTTGAAGTTTAGACTGGTACTTCCTCTGCTTTTATTTTGTTTTTTTCCTGTCCTCAGTCTGGAGTGCAGTGGCGTGATCTCACCTGACAAGTTACTTTATATCTTAAAGAGATGTTATGCTTAATGCTAAATATAAAAAAATTACTATTTAACATCAAATATTTTGTTCTAATTTCTTCCAAAATCATCTCAAATGCCAGAAATATACAATTCCTTCAGTAGATGTTTGATTGAATATCAGTTGGTAATAACATTATATAAAAACATATTTTAAATGAAATATTTTGATTTTTTTAAATTGAGGTATAGGTTTCATGCAGTATAGAATTGATTTTTGATCTAGGGTAATTCAATTCTTTATTATAAATGTGAGTTTGAGAATTGGCCTAGGCGGTTTGAACAGAGGCGGTTTATCCAAAGTGTTGAGCTATTTGATTTACAGCATGGAAGACACTCAAGGATTTTTAAACCTGTTTACCATGAAAGGTGTTTTTATAAAGCAAAGCTGAAAACATAAATATTCATAAATATGTCAAATATCAACAAATACTACCTTTGCCTGGTATCTCCAAATAACACTGTTTCTTCATGACCCTTATAAAGGATAACAGTATCATTTGACTTACTCATCTTTAATCCTTGGTTTAATATTCATCAAATCATAGAATTTTGGTAGGGGAAGAGATTTCACAATCATTCTCATCCTTGAGAACAATGGTTTCTGTATTACAATTAGATTTCTGTAGCATCAGTGTTTTGAAAAATTCATCTCAATCATTTTTAAATAGCGGTTCTATTAGATTAGATTAGCTTTTTGAAAGGAAATTTAAGATGTTCCATATAAACTTGGCTTGTGAAAAAGAACACTTTTGGTAAGAGAATATATTCTGAGGACACAGGTCACTTTTTAGTATATTTTGGTCTACCATTATGCTTTGTACATAGTTGGTGCTCAATAAATCTTCATTGCATTCATACATGGATGCATACACATGAAGATATTTGTTTCATTGTAGAATTGGAGCCTTATGATTTTTGTTACAACTCTAGTGACTTAAAAATATTTCTGCATATCAAAGTCTGGAAGATATATTTATTAAAGCATTCCAAATAATCTGCTGGACACAATTCTCAACCTCCACTTTTTCCAACTCAGTATTGTACACTAGCCACCTGGAGTTCAACTGAAATTTGGCTATAAAATAAAAGGAGACTTGGCAAAGTTATGATCTAATATAAAAGTATCAACATGAGAGAAAACTCATGACCCTGAAAACATAGTATAACTTAATTTTAAAACATTACAGTTTCTTAAAAGCTTGAAGAAATCATAAGAACATTTGTGCTACCTCAAGACTTTAAGTCACTGAAATTGACTGTGACCTGGAGTAGAATCTTATGAAAGTGGCAGAAGAAAAGGTTTTCACAAATTAAAAGCTGACTTGCCAGTGTAGTAGAAATAAAATAAAAGTAACACACAGATGATTAGATTGAAAAATGGTTCCAAATAAGGAAGAACTATAGCTACTCCAGGTTTTTTTCTGAGAGGTTCTTTGCTGGATTCCTTTCAGTGCCTAAACGGAAGATCCTTTGATATCTCTATCATCCTCACTTTCCTCCTAATGTATCATCCTGAAGACAATTTATTTCAATAAATTTGACAGTGTTTGAATTGTGTGGAGATTTTCATACCCACATTAAATTTGACCCAATTTAATGTACATGTACGTGCACTGAGTGCTCCTTCTGTGCTAGAATAGACACAACTAAGAGTAAGGCACAGTCCCTCTAGTCTAGTAGATATGAACACAGGTAATGCAAGACAGAATGGGATCTTTTAGTTGGGAAGATAGGTGCTTACACACAATGGAGACAAATTAGTTTTCAGGCTGTTTAATTAGTTTTGGACTTTACATAGGACAGCTCACTTCATAGGGATGAGTCAGATTTCGTTCTAAGTTAAAAGTCTAAGACTTTGAATCTAAGAACATATGAGGGTGCTTTTGAATATTCATTAAATAGAATTGAAGGATGGGTTGAGGCTAGGAAAACTAAGTTTCTGACAACATGGTGTGTCTTCAGGACATTTCACATGAAGATGCCCAGTCAAGAGTAGGAAATGAGAGTCTGAGCTCAAGAGTTACACATATGGGGTTGAAGATAGGTGCATATAGGTCATTGGGATGCAGGACTGGTGATTAAATTATGTGAGTGTGTGGGCTTTGCAAATTAACACATATAGAATGGCAAAGGCAGGTATTATCTCTTTAGGTTCCTCTTCCCTACAGTGTACTTTAGAATCAAAATTGCTTTAAATTTTACATTACCAACAGATCTTTATGGCACTTCTTTTAACCTATATGATACATATTGGTTTTTATTTATTTACTTTTATAACAATGAATATTATCTGAGGTCTTAGAATATACCTGATACTTCTTTAGATCCACTGTAGCACTAAGTTTAAAATTTGAGCCAGGTAGAGCCTCAGAATATTTGTTGAACATTCTCTTACTTCTTTAGTAAGTAAGCTTCTTGGATGCCTCCTTATTTGTACAATTCCTATTTCATTTTTCATAGATATATTCAAGATTAATAGAACCTAAAATCTTAATGTTGAAATCCACAGAATATAAGTACAAGAAAAATGAACACATATGCTTTAATGAAGCATTTAGATATAAATATCATGTCATCATGTGATTCTCTGCCTTGATCCCTGATCTTAATGAAGAAAAATAATGTTGTGAGCTCAGAAAACTGTTCTGCCTAAAAATGCTTGTTTCTCATAGGCAAATATAAAATACAAGGCAATCTGTTCTTTGGTTGGAATTTGTAGATATGTTTAGGGCATATTTGCATATCAACATTTGCCAACCCTGGATTTGTCGGATTGCTGTATGACAGGTTAATCTGTTTAGCTGCTGTAAATATTCCAGCAACCACATCTGAGCTGCTTTGGATACATTTCTGTTTTGTTGTGGGTTTCTATTCTGTTTGGTGTGAGTGCCTCTATTTGAGATAGTTCAAAATACTACATGATAAAAGAATCCCCCATCTGGATGAGATGTCCTTTCAGGTATGGGAGACTTAGTGATCACAAAATTTATCTGGTTCAGTTTGATATCATAAAGCGATAGTGATAACAACAACAACAAAAAAGCAAAAAAGTTCAACGTCAAAGGAGAATGGGGGAAAGAAACCGAAAGGAAAAGACTGAAAAGAAAGCATGACAAGAAAGTGGTAGATAAGGTCGTTTGTCCTGGTGTGCCCTACTTAGGCAATTTATGTAGCTTTCATTCCTGTTTAAGTGATTTGATAATATTCCCTACCCTAGAAAAAACAGAGTGAAAGTCAAATAAAACACGGTAGTGAACTTTTTTTGTTTAATCTGTGTTATGCTCTTGCAGTTAAAGTGCTGACCTGGTTGCACCTTTGCTCCTTATCTCACAGTTGTTCAGATCGATAAAAAAATTACCTAGCTGCCAGAGTATCCTCCACAGATACAGTTTCAGAGTCTTCTGAAAGCCTATAACAAGATATTTTATGTTTGATGAAATAGCCCAAATGGAAACATTTCACGCCTTCTAAGAAGATTCCAGATTTAATAATTCTACAAGTGTCAAGGATTTCTCCTGAAGAGTATTTGTTAAAATAATTGCATCATTTACACGTTTATACACTCAACTGTTAACTCATTTAGATAGTCAACAAATGTATTAAATGCCTATTCGACACTAGAGACTGTGCCGAAGGTACGAAGATGTTGTCCTCACAGTGCTCAAAAGTGGTAGAGAGAGCGCAGCACTAGGTTGGGGACATTTGTTCTCTGATGAGGTTTCCAGGCATTGAAAGAGCACCAGAGAGACTTTTGACACAAACAATAGGATGGCGGGAAGTTTCCCGGAAGACATGGTACTTTTGCAATGTTTTGAAGTGCTCCTGGTGGAGACATTGGAGTTCATCAGGTTCAGAAAGCGGGTGGAGGCTTATTCTAGAAATAGGTGATACCATCTGTCAGACCACTATCAAACCAAGGTTTATTGCTGATGTATTAATAATTTTTTAAACAATCAGAACCATTCATTTTATTTCTCTGATGGCTGCCATCATTTGGTGATGGGTTTGTTTTCTCAAGTAAAATATTTATTTTCCCCCTTTATTCTTAACTTGTCAGGTTGAATTGATACACACACACACACACACACACACACAGAGATATATCCATACATATACATAAACATATACATATGTACACATACATGTATACATGCATATATTTACATGTGTATGTTAATAGACATTTTACATATGTAAATATATATATATTTGCCTTGTATGATCATTTATTACAAAATAAATGATAGAGGGCCTTAGTGTAGGAAATAGCAAGTTTTGTCATATACTCCAAACTTTTCTGCTCTTAGTATTTTGAGATTTGCCTGTCAGATATTTAAAGACCATTAAAAAAAAATACATTTTTACAATGAATAATCCTAAATTCTTAATCTTACTGCACATTTCAGTCTTCCCTCCTCTTCTACAGTACCTATTAATGCAGTTGTATTTTTCAAGTTGTGGCAGCCAAAACTTCACATGACATTTATACCAACATGTTTTATGTTTTACTTCAATGGCCCCATTTATGGGAATCTGTGACTTTACTTGTCTTCAGAAGTAGCTCAGTAAGCTGGCAGTAATAAAGAACTATCTGTGATAACTTTGTGGTCCCATTTCTGAGTAACTCATATTCAGCCTTTACTTTTACTTGCACTGATTCAATTTTTAAGCCCCATAAACATTACAATTGTTCCCCCCTCCCAAAAGACAGCACCATCACAGTGTTTCCATTTCTATTTCTGAGATAGGATTTGCTTTTATGTCTTTATTCAGGGCTCAGAGTGCTAGTCCCATCTGGATATTTTTCAAGTTCGCCAGAAATCTTTTAGAATTATGACTGATCCTACCAGAAGATCAGAACAGCATATTAGCAGGTTACAGGGTTTTTCTTAGAATTTCTTAGATCATCGAATGACTTTACTTTTAAGGTATATAGAGTAAAAGTACATATAGAAGGTAGTAATAGAGATTCAGAAGTCTAAAATGCATCACATTTGTGTTTTAGGGGTAAGCACTGGTATTGTGTAGTTTTACCCTATATTCATATATACTGTAAAATTGCTATTTTTAGTTTCCAACTAATTTTGCTTACTTACAGTATAATGATTAATTTTTTAGCATACTTTTTGTGTTTTCAGAGGCTGAATGGGGTTTCTCTTTTGCACTTTAATCATCATTACCTGGAAAGCGTGATTATAAACAGGAAACAAAAATGCTTTTATCATTTTGTTTTTGTCACAAATTAATGTTTATGCTAAAAGAAATTCTTTTGAAATGTAATCTTTGTGATTTTTGTACTTTCAAACCCCTTATAAAAGATGAACCTGGAGAACATGAAACTATGCAGTTCTTTTTCTACACCATATCAAATACTCAGAAATTTTAAACTGTGTTATCCGAGCATTTGTGGAGGCAAGACCAAATTGCAGATCTAGAGTCTAGATAAATAGATGGTAAAAAGATGCTTGAGTAAAATTTGTATACTCAATCTTTAAAAAACAAAAGTAAGTGGATATCAAAGACTAATGAAAAACATACATTACAGTTTTTCTCTCTCCTTCATTTTAATTGTTTTAAAGAGAATCTTTGATGGCAACCTCTAATTATTTTGACATTTATGCCTTTTGGCTGATAGGAGCACAGAGTAAAATAAAAAGCAATAATTGCTAGAGCTAAGGAAAGAATATTGTTAATGAGATATTAAATTTTAGTCTTTACAACTTTAAATGCTTTTTCATGCATGGTCTCATTTTTAAGTCTCATTTTTTTTGGTCAGATGGGTTTAAGTATTCACTAATTTACAGAAAAAGTGACACGGTAAATGTCTTTTGAAGAAGTACTCATCTGAGAGGTAAATAGAAGTTTGAATCCTTTAAATTTATCTTCCAGGTTTTACAACTGAATTACTATTCAGTTTTGTTTTCCCTCACCTTTTATTTCTTGTCATCATTTCTAGTCAATGCTTCTTACCCTCTAAACCCCCATATGATATAAACATTTACCTAGTTACAATATTTAGAGTTACTGATAAAATGGGTTCTAAATGCAGGGGTATGTAGGATGGAGAGAAAATTTTAAAACAATTTTAAGTGAAACTGTTACTGATATTAAGTATCTCCATCTGTCATAACACATGGACAGCATATTGTCTACAGAAAACCTACTTTTTTTAGTCTGTAAAATGAATAGTTAAGTGTTTGCAAATTGATTAATATCAGATTCGTCAATCTGTTGAGCCATAGGAAAATATCTTCTCCGTAGAACAAACTAGCAAAGTGCATCGAAGATAGGATAGGATACAAGGGGAAGGTAACTGTTTTGTTTACATGGGAAAGTGCATGTGTAAAGCCTACTGGCAGGGGGCTTAGGATTTCTAATATTCCCATGGAGATCAAGAGGGCCAGCTGCATGCTAAACATGTCATACAACCTAGAAAATAGCTCTCAAATACCAACAAAGCTACATCTGATATTTGCTAAGAGACCGGGTGTTGTTATTTGTGAATAAAATAATGTTCTGCAGCTTGATACATGTTTTATTAGTGGCACCCAAGGAGAGCAGCAATTTTAGTAACCAATGGAAAGTCAATTTCTGTTTAATTGCCCTGATTTGCGTATGTGTATTAAGGTGCAGAACTATGCCAAAAAGCATAACTAATTGCACAGTTATTGATTAGATCTATGTTTACTTTTTTATAAAAAGCAATTATCTTTTGCATAGAACAGTTATTGTTGCACTAAAACATGCTTCAAAATACATGTGAGTGGAATATACCTTGTATCATTTAGCAGGTGTTCACCTAATCATTCTGAGTATAAATGTTGTTAACTCTTATTGAGCCAATGATGATCAATGTTTTTAATGAAACAATAAATGAGTGTAATTATTAAATTTACTATTAGTTCTTATTTATGGTGACCTTCGTACCCAGTGTTCAAATGCTAATCTTGTATTGAGGTTGAATATATTCCCAGTGTTGGGGAAAGCTACTGGAAACTGATTTGTGAAACCCATACTACAGTAATGGAATGATCCATACTTTTCCCCAAAATGCAATATAAGAATCTTTTAATGTTAGATTCAACTAACTGGAATTCATCCCTAAGAGTTCTAGAATTCATAATTAAAGAATTGCTCAGCTTTAAAATATGCTTGCATGATCCCCAGTGAAGCATTTTAATGACATTCCAGTTAGAAGATGACTTTGTTTACTCTAAGCAGTCTGTTATTATTTAATCATCTTAAGAAATACAGGTACTTATGTTAGTCTGTATTTGAGGCATATGACTACATTTTACCTTTCTGTGCACTAATTTTTGTTCTGGATATATATCTGAAAGTGTAGTGTTGATAATGTGTGTTACCATTAGGAAAGTTTATATTGCATTATGAAATCATATTTTCTTTAGAAGACTAATAATGTTATATGAGAATAGATTCTAAAAATGGCACTAATGAGGACAAATTATTTTGTGTTGACTATTGAAAGATCCCCAAAAAAGATTCAAAGATAATTTTTATAAAAGCCAAAGTAATTTGTAGCTAATATTAAAATACTCTAAATCAGGAACTTTTAAAGTGGATGCTATGAAGATAGAGAGTGTTTTCACACATTGTTTATTGATTTTAGCTTCACTTTTTCTCTCCTTAGGGTGTGGTTAGGCCCACTGGGGGATATGCCGTCATGCTAAACTGGTCAATGTCTTCTATATATGGACTTCAACCTGGAGAGGTAATTGTGGTTTTAAATTTACATTACATGACATTTCTCTGAATAAAATATATACATTTTATTATTTTATTTTTTAGGTGTGGTGGGCAGCTTCTGACTTAGGCTGGGTTGTTGGACATTCCTATATCTGCTATGGACCTCTTCTCCATGGGAACACAACAGTCTTATATGAGGTAACACAGTAAAATTAATACCACATATAGATAATATTTATTTTATTAAAACTTTTCATGAAGCAGTCCTGAATAGGATCAGAAAAAATTGGGGTGGGGACAGGGGACGTTATTGTATCTTCTTCCAGTTAAAAATAGAATTCTGAAATAGAAAGGGAATGTAGGAAATATTAGCTAGTTATTTCAATTTTGTTGAACAGTGAATTAAATTCTGAAGAACATACAATAAGAAGCTTTGTATCTATCCCTTACAGATTTTTAGAAAGTATTGGCAAACCAATACTGATTTTAGAGTCCTAGAAAATAGTAATCATAAAACAAATGATGTAGATTCCCTTTTTTTGTGTTTTTATAAGATTAATGGATGTCCAAAGTCATGTTGTCTCAATTTTAACTAATTTCCTTTGTTTCTAATAAAGCTCTCTGTATAAGGCATAGATATATAGACTGACCAGATTTATAGCTGAATAAATAACTGTTTAAAAATTAAGATCCATATATCAGTGTCACCTAGGAATACGATTTCTGTGTGTATAGGAAATTTCCTTCATATGCCTATACCATTTAACTTTATCAATGTCTTGCATAAAGACTTAGAAAACATACCTATCAGGTCTCTAGAAGATCAAAATCTTGGAGGGATAACTGATATGGCAGTTTGCTAAATTGTCAAAATGACCTTGGGCTTTTGGGACAAATTTAACAAGATAGAAAAAAACATAAATCTTTACAGTCTTATATTTAGGTTAAAAAAATACAGAAATGAAAAAGGGAAAACTTGGGTTGGTTGCAGTTTATGTAGCTAAATCTCTGGGTATTAAACTGTCCATAATTTAAACATAAGCTGTTGGTAGAACTGCTATTTAAAAAATACTCACCATGTACAGTGATATAATCTTACTTTACTCTTCCACATTTGAAAATTTGTATTCAGTTTAACTGAAAGGCTAAAAAAAAATCATGAACTTACCAGAAAACATCTTTGAAAGAAGGGAATAACATAAAAATAATGTATACAAGAAAGGTGGGCTGGGCATGGTGGCTCACGCCTGTAATACCAGCAGTTTGGGAGGCCGAGGAGGGTGGATCACTTGAGGTCAGGAGTTTGAGAGCAGCCTGGCCAACATGGTGAAACCCGGTCTTTACTAAAAATATGAAAGTTAGCCAGGCGTGATGGTGCGTGCCTGTAAGCCAGCTACTCAGAAGGCTGGGCTAGGAGAATCACTTGGACCCAGGAAGTAGAAGTTGCAGTGAGCCAAGCTCATGCCACTGAATTCCAGCCTGGGTGACAGAGTGAGACTCCATCTCAAAAAGAGAAAAAAATAGGTGAAAGAATTAGGAATGGCTAGTCTGACAAACAAATAATACACTTAATGTGCAGATATTTTATTTTGATATGTAAAAAGTTGCTACGTATAAAGTATGTAGTCTTGTAACAGAGTTACAGAGAGTTATATTTTGGGAATAATAGAGACAAATTTAAATGGTTGGCAGTAAAACAAACAGACAACTTCTCAAATATAAGGCTCTCTTTCACACAAGTGTTCTGTCAATACCAGACAAGGATTGTGAAGTGGAGAATTTTATATGTAGGGTGTGGAGAATGTATTATATGATTTTAAGTTAATTTGCACTCCTAAAATTCTGTAAGTCAATGAATTTGAAAACACAAGAGGCTATTCTCAATCTTTCTGGAATACTCCAGGCCTCCTCATCACTTAAAGTCCATTTGTGTTCTTTCATTTTTAACTGGCTGGTTTTCTGTCTCTGAATGCTAAGAAATATTAAGGTAGACTTTGACACAAGTATTAGACCATCATATACTACTCTATATCTTGTATATCATGCTTTTATATCTTGCAGACTTGTATGCATTTTGGAATTTATCTCCTATTCTACATCTTTTATATAGTACTTTTGTGTCTTGCAGACTGGATATGCATTTAGTTGTTTGTAATAGTTTAAACAATCTTGACATAATTTCATACCATTCTCTCTGCAATATAATGATTTTATTAAAATAATTTCTCTTGAAGTAAACAAAGTATCAATACTGAATAGTTATATTGAATTGTGGTACTGCTTACACAAATATGACAAAGCCAAAGATGCCAACATATTTATAGTTATAAGTTTCAAGCTGTTTTAGAATTGATATATGTTTTGTGCTATTTACCATGGGCTTCTATTATTTCTTGAGTTTATTTAAAACATGATATTAACACTATGACGGAGGGTTGTTTGTTTCTGTGTTGGAATGATTTGCTCAAGAAGAGTAGAGATGCTCTGTAAATACTTGTTGTGTGAATAATTGAATGAAATAGCTACAATTTAAAACGTTTTCTCTGCAGTCTGACTTGTTTTCTACAACTTATGAAAGAGGCTTTGTAAGTTGTAAATGTCTTTAACTTTCTCTGATAGCAAAGCAAAGTCTTTTAGACCTTCGCTCACTTCTAGCTATGCCATCCTTATTTTCTTCTACACTAAATTCCTTGAAAAAATATCCTGCCCAAATTCCTGAATCTCATATTCTTCTAATTACTCCTCATCTGACCATAGTTTGATTTATCTTCACATCAGTTCATAGAAGCTACTGTAGCAGAGGTCAGCAGTTACTTTATAAGTGACAAAGTCAAAGGGTCTTCTATAATCTGATTTTATTTTTTCTCTTACTGGAATTCGGCCCTGCTGACCATTCCTTTTAGGTGATTTTCTCCTGTCTCTTGAGCTCCATGGTCCTTTGCTAATATTCATGCTGTTTCTTTTACCTGGCGTGAGTTTCCTCCTGTCTTTCTTTCTTGGTTAACTCCTACTCTCTTTGTAGACTCTGCTTAGATGTTATCATCTCTTGAAAGTTTCTTCTCGGGATCTTGGGCTGTGTGCAGAGCCCCTTTCTGTGGTCCTGTTGCTTTCAAGCCTGTCTGTCACTGAGCTGGCCACATTGTACTGAAATGATCTGTTTACATCTAGAAGAGGATAACTTCTAGAAGAGGATAAAAGCCAGTTTCACAGCATAGTGCATAGCACACACCACACAAATAATAAATACTTGTAGAATTGAATTAAACTCTATTCATTTCTTCTTTCAGTCCTTCACAGCTTGTTCTTCTTTTCTTCTGTTTCTTTCACTTTGGTCCTAAACATTAGAGTTTAGCCAGATCATAGTCTTAGCTCCATTTTCTTATTCTGATTATGTTTCCTGGATAATCTCCAAGTAGTTATATTTGAGGATCATTTATTAAATCATGGCTCCTAAATCTCCTGTTTACATCTGACTTTCTTGCTGAGCACTAACTTATTGTTAGACATCTCTGATTAGTCTGTACACATCTTATGCTCAAGATGACATGAACTGAGTTCTGTATCTTTACCCTACCCTGCAAACCATGTTTTCTTCAGTGCACTCTGTGTTTCTGTTAATGTTACCTCCATTCATGCAGTAATCCAAACTGAGAATCTGCAAGTGATTCTTGAGTTCATTTTCCTTACCTCTTACACTCTACTAGTCTTTATATTTTGTTGAATCTATTTATTTAGTACTTATCAAAACTGTCCTCTCTTTTTCATGCCTCCTGACATGTATTAAAGGCATATCATATAAAGCTCAATATGATATTCATATTCATAAATATGAATACACAAGCTCATACACAAATATGTTGACTGATGTCTATTTTACATTTTGGTTTCTCTTATGATTTGTGCCTACACATTCCAGTTGCATATTTTAGGTATCGTATATTTAGATATACTCCCCTCTAATATTGATAAAGCAACAGACAGAAAATCAGCGAAGATGTAGAAAAACTTGACACCATCAACCAACAAGATTTAATTAACATTTATAGAATACTATTCTCGACAGCATCAGAATATGCATTCTTTTTAAATGCCCACTGAATAATTACCAAGATAAATGAAAGCCTGGGCCACAGAACAAATTTCAACTAATTTAAAAATATTTGGGTATTTGAACTTATGTGAAGTCTATTTTAAGACCACAATATTTTCAAACTAAAAATTAATTATACTTAACCAGAAAATCTCCAAACAGTTGAAATCTAATCAACATACTTCTAAATAAATAATCCATAGGTCAAATAGGAAAATCCAGGAAAACGTACACATATACTCACACACACACACACATCTCTAGGTGTATATATCTCAAACTCATTGAAAAAGAAAGTGCATCATATACAATTTTGGGGAACACAGCTAAAGTAGTGCTGAGAGGGAAATTTATAGCACTAAATGGATACATTAGAAAAGAGAAAAACTCGGAGAGGGGACTCAAGATGGCGCTGTGAGAACAACCCAGGATTGGAGCCCGCGTTGAATTCGCAAACGGTGAGTCAGTGCTGCATTTCCAGACTGATCTTTGTTGCCCACAGAACGGGGAAACTCCCAAGTATAAAAAGACACGGGACGCCAGGCAGTAGGTCTGCCTGGCGAAGCCGGCAGCCGGGGCGGCGGCGGCCGGCCCTACCCAGCAATCCCCACAGGGCGCGCTTGTCCGGGTGCCTTGTTGAACCGGCAACCTGAGACTTGAGAGGGCTGGACTTGAGACTGAACGAGACTTGCACAGTAGCCCAGCCCAGGGGATTGCAGGGACAGATCGGTTGGGATACCCAGTGGGACGAACAAAACCGCGATTTCAAACTATCCCGGGCAGACGGTCCGAGACGCTCTGTGGGGGAGGGGCGTCCACCACTACGGAGGCAACCTGCCCCAACTGATATACACGCCCACTGCTGAGGCAGCCAGCCGTTGCCGAGGCAACCCGCCCCAACTGAGATACACGCCCACTGCTGACGAAGCCAGCCGTTGCCGAGGCAACCCGTCCCTACTGAGATACACGCCCACTGCTGACGCAGCCTGCCGTTGCTGAGGCAACACGCTACAACGAAGAGACTCCGCCGCAGGGCGTGGCGGAGACCACAGCAGAGCCGGCAGGAACAGCGCGAATCACACAAGAGCAGGGCGGAGCCTCGGCAGCC